CACAGGAGTCACTCCTTGTTTCACCTGTACCCTGCTCAGATGTTGCCCCCCCTCCCCGTTTTGTTTCTTTGAGGCAGGGTTTCTCTGTGTAGATCCAGTTGTCCTGGAACTAACTCTGTAGACCAGGCTGGCTTTGAACTCTCTTAGATCTGCCTGCCTCTGCCTCCTGAGTGCTGGGACTAATGGTGTGTACCACCATGCTCATTAGAGATGTCTTCCTTGATTTCTATCTCCTGAGTACAAAATAGCATCTTCCCCTGATGCCTCCCCATTTCCATCCCCCACCCTGATATGTATGTATGCATGTATGTATAGTTTTATAGCTTTTATTGTTATACATTGGTTTGAAACAGGATCCTGGTAGAAAATAGATGATATCATCATTGTGGGGTAATTTCATGAATAAATTCTTTTCAAGGATATGGGCAGACCAGTCTAGAATGGGAGACATCCAGGGTTTGGCATCCATGGGGAAAATATATATGATGAGACCTTATGGGTCTCATCTCTTCTCACCTGGTTTCTTCTCTACCATGAATCACCCTATGTCACATATTCATTCATTTCTGTTGTTTGTAAAGTAAAATTTTTGTTTTAGTCCCCACTTCTAAGGGCCTTACAATCTAGTGAAGAGAAAAGATCTTCACTGGTAAACACATAAAGAACACATGCTGGTGTCCATAGCTACTATAATACTATTCACAACAGCCAGGATGAGGAATGGTAAAGGTAATATAATTGATAAATAGATGATTGCTAGATCATAGATACATAGATGATAGATACAAATTAGATAGATGATAGATATATGACAGGTACAGATATCCATATTCATACACATCCATAGAGAAAGAGGGTGTGTCATTTCCAGAAGAGTGGATGGAATTAGAGACCATTATATCAAGTAAATTAACCCAGACTCAAAAAGAAAAATAGTGCATGCTTTCATTCACATCCTCCATCTAGAATTTAAAATATTGTGAGCTGGAGTGAGAGCTCTGTCAGTAAAGCACTTGTCTTGCTAACATGAGGGCTGGAGCTCAGATCCTACACTCACTTAAAAGGCAGGGTCTGGCTGTGTGTGTGAGAACAGCTCTGGAGAGTGACATAAACAGATCCCCTGGGGAAACTGACCAGCAGCTTAGCTGAATTGGTGAGCTCCAGGTTCAGTGAGCAACTTCGTCTCAATTAGTAAGGTGGAGACTGATTGAGGACGAGCCAATGCTAGCCTCTAGCCTCGACACAAATGTGTGTACATGTACACACACACACACACACACACACACACACACACACACACCAAACACATGAAACACTCCCATGCACACAAAGAAATGTTCATATGACATGAAAGCAAAAAAGAATGGGGACAGCAGAAATAGGGAGGGGGACCAGGAAAAGTACCAGGAGGAGTGAGTGTGGGCAGAGAGCAGTGATATACATGCTCTTTATCTGTTTGCCAGTGAGGATATTTTCCCCTTACCAGATTGTAAGCCCCATGGAGGTGGCAACTAAAACAAAACTTCTACTCTGTAGACAATAAAAATGAATGAATGAATATGTGACAGGATGCATGGCAGAGTAGGAACCAGGTGAGAAGAGCTGCGACCCACGAGATTAGAGGCCTGAGAGCACATGGCTGAAGTCACTTAAAGGTCTGGGGAGCGGGAGACTGCCTTGTTGGACAGAGCTTGTCTCATGTGCATGAGGCTATGGGTTTGATTCCCAATACCATGAGAAGGAGAGGAGAAGTCTAACAGCCATCTTCGAGGACAGATGGCAAAAAATAGACACAAAGCCCTGCCCAGAGTAGCTTCACAAAGCAAACAGCCAAGTTCAGCGTTCCATAGGACACGCAAAAATGCTGAGGCTGTAAGAAGTCTCCAGCTGCAGCGACACAGGCATGGCAGAAAAATAATTGCTGTCGGAAAGGGAAAGCTCTTGCATTATAATCACTAGACATTGAAAAACAAGGAGAGCCTTGGAGAGCCCTGTAGTCATCCAGAGAAACGATCGTGAAGAATGAAAACAGAGAAAAGGAACAGGATTACGGTATGTTCATTGTTATGGTGTACAGGTCACAACAGCTGGTAGGCAGACATTTGCCTTTTCAACGTAATCATACTTATGCTTTTGTGAATTTTTAAATTAAATATAGTATTTTTACTCTTTGAGAATTTCATACATGCATACAATATATTTTGATCACATTCACTCTCCACTCCTCTCCTTAATTCCTCCCAGACCACTCCCTAGCCTCTGCCCCTCCCAACTTTATGTTCTGTTTTGTTTTTCCAAACTCACCAAGCCCAATTTATTCTGTCCTCATACTCCTGTGTATGTGTGGCCATCCACTGGAGGATAGTTGATTTACCAGGGAGCCATGCCTGTAAGGAACTCTGACTCTCCCTCTTCCAGAAGCCATCAACTCTCAAGAGCTCCTCGGCTAGGGGTGAGAGCTCATGAGTCCTTACCTCTTTCAATCTGTATTGCTGCTTGGCTTGACTTGGTGAAAGTTTTGTGCAGGAAACCACAGTTTCTCGAGTTCTTGATGCAGAGGTCCTGCCATGCCCCAGGTCCTAATTCCTTCTGGTTTGCCCCAACCTCTGGCTCTGATAGTCTTTCCTCCCCTTCTTTTGCAATGGTCTTTGAACCTTGTGGGGATGGAGTGTGGCATGATGTTTTATTTGTAGACGAATGCTATATAGATTCTTATTCTTGGTTGTGAGTTTTCGCATTGACTGCTATCTACTGCACAAAGAAACTTCTTTGATGAGATCTGAAAGCTGAGTTAATCTATGGGTGAGAGATGAAGGTATAGATGGTAGTTTGGTACTCCTTTTAGCAAAATATTAGTAGTAGGTTTATCCCTGGGGCCTGTGAGCCAACCATGGGCTCTTGGATAGATTAATATTATCAGGCATGTGTTTGGGCCTTAAATCGGATAAAAAAGCAATTAGCTACCCCCATAACATTCATGCCACTATTTCACTCATGGGTATGTCTGGCCACACCAGTCATTTAGCTCATAGCTACATAGCTGGGTGAGATTGTTGATGACTTTTGCCCCCAGCAGTCTACACAGCATCTTTCAATACTAGGAAAGGAAGCCTGGCCTGGAGGCACACACCTTTAATCCCAACACTTGAGAGGCAGAGACGGGCTAACCTGGTCCACATAGTAAGTTCCAGACCAGTCAAGATTACATGGTGAGAGTCTATCTCAAACAAAACAAAACACAACAACAAACCAGTTATTGGCAAAGCCAGCCAGCAGAGAGGAAGATTCTTGGTCAGTAGTAACTTGATTTTTCCATGTCCTGTCACCAAAGAATGTGGTGTCTTTAATAATAGGGTCCTACCATCAGGTCCTGATGGGCAACCAAGAACAGTGACAGTATCCTGTATTGTTTTAGAGGTCTCTCAGATAACCCTGAACAACAACTTAGGAAAAGTATCCCATACTTTGTTCTAGGCATTTCATTTGGCAATGCTCTGGAAGGAGCATAATCTTCTATGTAAGGAAGCTTATTATATATATATACATACATATATATACATACATATATATATGAAGCTTCTAAAATTGCAAGTTTCCACATGACCTTTTGAAACATCTTCAGTGTTGGTTTTCCTTCCCTCACCTCTTCCTCTACCCTACCTTCCCAGCCCTCTCCCCACTTAAACCCTTCCCCATTGTTCCATATTTGCCCTTTTGAGGAGATAGTTTCTTACTAAGTAGCTGAAGCTAGTTTTGAGTTTTAATATTCTTGCCTCTACCTTCTGATTGGGAGTGGATTACAACTATTCACTACCATTCTTAGCCAATTTAAAAAGAAAAAGAAAAAAAGTAACCTGTGGTGGGGCTGGGGAGTTGTCACAGTCTGTGAGGTACTTGCCGTGCAAGCATGACAACTGGAGTTCAGTCCCCAAGACCCATGGAAAGAGCTGGGTTTGGTGGTGTGCACCTGTAATCCCAGCACTGCGAAGGCAGAGTCAGCAGAATCCTGGGGCTTCCTGGACAACCAGATTAGCCAAACTAGTATGCTCCAGGTTCAATGAGAGACCTTGTCTGAAAAACAAACAATAGAATAATAATAACAGTAAGTGGAGAGTGGGCGAGGAAGACACTTATCACTGATTCCCGGCCTCTACACACAGATGCATGCGTAGCCGTTCACCCATTTATACATGTACATACGCAAGAACACGCACAACAGATTTGAGTAGACAGGGAAGTCATTTGTTTGGTATACAACATAGCAGCAGCTCCAAGTATGGCTGTCAGGCAAATTTATCTCAAACTCTCCTCCAACTCGCCCACATATCCCATCAGACATCTTGGCTTTCCAGTGCTTCGGAGAAAACTGACAGCTGCTAGAAGGATCCTCAAAGATCCCATTTTTAAACTAAAAGAAGTAAATAAGACATTTCTCCCAAGTACTTGCATAGTCTTCTTTTCAGGGACTCCCTTGGCATCTTCTGGAACTCATACATTCATGAGTCATCCAGGACCGCAGGTTAGCAACAGGTGCGCAGGTAGGTCATCTGTGCTTTCCTTTGGTCCTTTGCACATTACTGGTGTTGGTGCAACTTTGAGTGTGTCTGTGTGCTCATGTGTGTGTACATGCACTCAAATGTGGGTGTGTACTAGTGAAGATATACGAAGCTCAGAGGAGAACCTCAGGGGCTTCCCACTGTTTGCCTGGGACAGGTTTTCTTCTTGGCCGAGAACTTCAACTAGGCTAGGGTAACTGTTCATCGAGTTTCCCTGGATTCCCTGCCACCGGCTCTCATCTCTCTAGAACTGGAGCTAGAGACCAGCTCCAGCATGACCAGGGAGCTTGGCTTCTTTTAATGGGTTCTCCGGATGGAACTCAAGTCCTTATGCTTTATCAAGCCAGTTTGTCTCCCTAGCCCTAGTGTTTATGCTTCTAGAATCTAGAGTTAGGGAAGGTGCTGGGATACCATCAAGCAGACATTCCAAACTCAGCACACTGAACCAGCCACCCATCACTGATGGGCAGATAGATAGAGGCAGGATGACTCTGACTAGGGTGCCTGTTTTCCAGATGCTGCACATTGCTCAGAAGCAAGCTCCGTCACGTTGTAGCTGGGACTGGGAACAGAGCAAGCTGCCTCATCTAGCTTTGCCCTCTTGGAAGAGCCTTTAGTCTTCAGTAGCATCATGGAGGTAAGAAGAAACAGGTTGGAAAAGTACCTTAGGACATTGAGTAGCAGGGATACAAGACACAGTTTCTGGGCATGGAGGTATGGCCCAGCTGGTAGAGTGCTTGCCTATGCATGCATAAATCCCCATATTTGGTCCCTAGCACACTCTTTAAACTCCCATGTAATTCCAGCACTTGACAGGTGGAGGCAGGAGGACCAGAAGTTCAAGGTCAATTTTGACTACTTAGAAAGTTTGAGGCCAACTTGACTGCATAAGACTGTCAAAAAAAAAAAAAAAAAGATTATCTCTTCTTCTCACCATTGTGAGTTTAGTATGAGAAAACGAATTTAGCCACCATTAGACCCTGAATCTCTGGCACTCTGACCATGGACTTACTGGGCCCCTGAACCAGGAGAGAGAAATTCCTGTTGCTTATTATAAGACACCTTGTCTCTAGAGGTTTGAATGTGGCTGCTGTCACCAAACTCAGAAGACTTGGCTGTTAAGGGCTGCTAGTTATTAAGAAGGAAGGTAAGCCAGGTTGGGTCAGTTGGTACTTGATTCTATTTGTTTGTTTATTTACACGGGGCTTCTTGTACCCCGGGCTGCTCTCAAACTTGCTCTATAGCCGAGGATGACCCCTGATCCTCCTGCTTCTATCTCCCGAGTGCTGGGAGGATAGACAGACGCCTGGTTTATATGCTGCACTTGCCTTTAAGAGACTGGATTAGCCACCAAGAAGCCAGACTGTGATAAAGTGGGTTTGGTTACCTATTGCTGCCTGTCACAGGTACCCTGTTTACCCCTCCCGTGTATTAAAGCCGTAGAATGTCCTTACTGGAAGGAAGGCACATGGCAGCACCTTCCCGGCCTCCAGAACAGAACCAAACAGGCCTCATTTGGTAAAAATTGCCCACTCTCAGGCATTCTTCAATAATGATGTCATCTACAGTATTTGGTCATCTAATACTGTCCATTGAATGAGACAGAGACACATCTCTGTCTAGATTAGTGCTTCTCAGCCTGTAGGTCATGACCCCCTTGGGGATCGAACAACCCTTTCACAGGGGTCTCCTAGGACCATTGGAAAACACAGATATTTGCATTATGATTAATAAGGGTAGCAAAATTACAGTTATGAAGTAGCAATGAAAATAATTTTTGGTTGGGGAGTTATCACAACATGAGGAACTGTATTAAAGGGTCGCAGTGCGAGGAAGGTTGAGAATCTCTATACTAGATGTACATGGGCCAGACAGAGAGCCACAGACTGGTGAGCTCATGGGAGTCAGTCCCCTTGAGATATAATGTCTTTTCTTCTTCTCTCCCTCCCTCCCTCCATCCCTCCATCCCTCCCTCCCTCTTTTCCTTCCTTCCTTTTTTCTTTTTGGTTTTTTAGTACAGCTATAATGCTTTATTCTCCTAACCACACTGGATACTCTGAATTTGGCCTGGGAAGACATGCTCTCACTAGGTTTCAGTGAACTCCTTTGATCTGTTCAGGAATGTCAGAGGCAGCTGGACAATCATTCGGTAGATTGAGTTGGTTGTGAGAAATTTCAAACTCTGCCATGCCTACAACTGCTCAGCACAGCCCAGCTGCTTTGGACAGGGGAAAATAATAATAACAACAATTAAACACCACAAAGTCCTTTGTGTTTGAACTCCTTTTCTGCTCATGGTTCAACTCAGCTCCCACTGGAACGTGGTACTCGGGGGCAGTCCTTTGAGTTTCTGCTTTGTTCAAGGTCCCTTTGAAGTCAAACTGGAGCTTAAGCCAGGCCAGGTTATTGGGCAGGTTGTTGCTTGATCCCCATTCATTTTTTCTTTTGAAAGGATCTCATGTGTTCCAGGCTGGACTCCAGCTCTCTTTGTAGCCAAGAGTGACTTCTGATCCTCCTGACCCTAACTCCCCAGGGCCGGGATGACAGACACGGGTCAACATTCTTGGTTTATGGGGTGCTTGAACCTAGGACTTTGTGCATGCTAGGCAAGCCGCTCTACCAAGTGAGCGACATTCCCAGGCCTTTTCCATCCATATTCACAGAGTCTGCTTAAAAAGGAAGCCAGAGGCTGGAGAGTCAGCTCAGTGTGTAAAGTGCTTGCACCGAAAACATGGGGACACCATTAAGTGCCTAGCACCCTGGTGAAAAGCTGGGTACAGTGTCACATGCCTGTGGTCCCACTGCTGGGAGACAGACACAGGCAGCTCCTTAGGCCTGGCTGCTCAGCTGCATTAGCCTACTTAGCAAGTTCCAGTTACTAGTGAGAGGCTCTGTCTGAAACAGGTGAGGTGGGAGGTGTCTGGAGGGCACACCCAAGTGTGACAACCTTTGGCTTGTCCTTACATGTGTACCCACATCACACACATCCTCACTGATACACACTAAGGAAGAATAAAAGAAAGGATGAATGAGAAATGGAAGGAAGGAGGGAGGAGGGAGGGAGGAGGGAGGGAGGAGGGAGGGAGGAAAGGAGGGAGGGAGGGAGGGAGGAAGGGAGAGAGAGGAGGGAGGGAGGGAGGGAGGGAGGGAGGGAGGAGGGAGGGAGGGAGGGAGGGAGGAGGGAAGGAGGGAGGGAGGGAGGGAGGGAGGGAGGAGGGAGGGAGGGAGGAGGAAGGGAGGGAGGAGGAAGGGAAGGAGGGAGGACAGCTGTAGAGACCTCCCAACATGTAGGTTGCTGCTGTTGCACTTCACTAATCCTTGAAGCCATCTTCCTCTTTCTCTCCTTCCCCCGTTTCTGTTCTCTTTCCTGCATATTCCACATCAACCCCAATGCTGTCATTCCTCTAGGTGTGATTCACTTAGACAGCCCCTTCATCCTCCCCAGCTGCTGATTTTGGATGCAGGATGGGGAGATTAAAAAAACAAAAAAAAAAACCCAATTGCCACGAGGACAAAAAAAATGTCTTAGCAACAGTTGAATGGAGAGACCCACAATTTGCTCGGCTCCAGCCTGCCACACGTCTGGCTTATAATTAAAGGCGTAAGAAACGCGTGTTGCTCACCCACCCCCTCATTCGGACTCGGTTTTTCCTTCTTGTGAAAACATCTGAATGCTGTCTTTGGAGTGATCTTGCATTATTCTGCTGGCAGGGCCACAATAGCCACCTACATGGGGACTGCCGAGGGAAGCCAGCCATCCTTTGCCAGAGAAAATGCATTCCGAAGCCTGACATCTGGGTCCTGCAGCTGGAAGAAGGGAGGAAACCACAAAGCACCAGTCCCTGGTGTCATCAAAGGCAGTTGATGGTGCCAAGTGAGTATGGAAATTACACACAGAGCAGATGCCATCTTTAGCATTAGATGGATAATACAGCTATTTAGGAAAAACAAAGATGTGCTTAGAGTTTGATCATCCATGGTACGTGCAGTGAAAACATTCAGAGCTTTCAGTGTGACAAGGATGGGCCCCATGCTTGTTCCCAAGTGGTTCACCTTCTTTAGATTTTATTATTTATCTAATTTAATTAATTAATGTGCATGTGTGTGCACAAGTATTTGTATGCATTGTGTGTGTGTGTGTGTGTGTGTGTGCGCGCTTGTACATGTAGAGGCCTGAGGTCTGTCTCTTTGTTCTCCACCTTATATTTTTATGATTTATTTTGTTTTTAATTGTGTATATGTATGCGTCTGTGTGTAGACATGTGCACATCAGAGTGCAGGTGCCAGAGGAGGTCAGAAGTGGGCCTTGGATACCCTGGAGCTGGAGTTACAGTGTTGGTGCTGGGAACTGAACTCAGGTTTTCTGGGAGAGCAGCAAGCATTTAATCTCTCAAGCATCTTCCCAGCTTCCCCAACCTAGTTTTTGACAGAGTTTCTCACTGGTTTGGCTACTGTCTCTCTGAGCCCCAGGGATCCCCATGTCTCAGCTTCCTCAGCTCTGGGATTACAATCATACACTGACACACCCCACTTTTTATGTGGGTGCTGGTGATTGTGGGGCAAGCATGTTAATAACTGAACCGTCTCCCCAGCATCCAAATGGTTCCCATTCCTTTTTGTGACTCTAAAGAGGAAGATGGAGGCAGTCTGGCTACTTCTCCCTTGATGAAAACTGGAGGGAGAAGTTACTTGATATGAAAACATGCTATATGGATATTTAAGATTTTCAATTTATGCCGTCTTCCATCTAAACAGCATCTGGAGTGCTTTCTGTGATGGACAAGAGAATATGAAAACAAGAAAGGGCACCCAGTTATCTACAAGACACAATCGATCACAAAGAATTAGCTCATTGTGGGGAGAGGAAGAGGGAGGAGGAAGAGGGGTGGAAAAGGAAATTGAAAATGCTAATGAGCGTGAAAGCACCTTGGCCCCCTTTCCCTTTCTTTCCTTACCCAGATCTTCTCAAGATTAGGGCCCTGCAGCGAGCGAGCCGAGTGCAGGCAGCCTAAGCTCTCAAGTTGGAGGCACACAGAAGCACAGGCTTTCTGCAGGAAGTATGGGTTAAATACCAGCTTCAAGGCCTGAAAACAGCGTTTCACAAAAGAACTCTTATCTTTCGCTCTTTGCAAAGCCTACAGTCAGGAGAAAGGTTTTTTTTTTCTTTTTCTTTTTTTCCCCTGTCAAAGTGTCTTTTCTTTGGGGAAGTCGGGAAAATGTAGGATTCCTCTCATCTAAAAGATGACTTGAGGCTTGGGGAGGTGACTTAGCTGGTAGAGTTTGCCTAGCACACACGACACCCGGGTGTGATCTCCAGTATCACATAATCCAAGAACAGGACTACAGACTACTAATACCAGCACTCTGGACGTGGAAGTAAGAAGAGCAGAAGTTCAAGGTCATTCTCAGCTATTTAAAGAGTTTGAGGCCAGCTTGGCCTACATGAGATCCTAACCCTTCTCACCCCCTCCCAAGATAAAGGAGATGACTTGGGCTGGAGAGATGGCTCAGCGATTAAGGACTTGCAAAGGACTCTGAAAACACACACACACACACACACACACACACTCACACACACACACACACACACGCGCGCGTGCATGCCAAATAACAATAACAACAACAAACATTCATAGCTGCCTGCAACTATGTTCTAGAGGATCCCACGCCCACTTCTCTGCAAGTACCTGTGTGTGTATGATGCATTTAGCAGGCACACACATACGCATAAAGTGGAAAATAAATACTTTTTTTTGTTTTAAGAGAGATGACTTGATGGGAATCTCATGTTTCTGTTGGAACATCATGTGGGTTTAAGAATTTCATGTTGGGGGGGGGGACCAGGGAGATGGCTTAGTGACAAAGCACTTGCCACACAAGTGGGAAGACCTGAGTTGTGTCCCCAGAACTCACACACAGATGTGGTAGTATGTGTCTATAACCCCAGTGCTCCTATGGGGAGATGGGAGACAGAGCTGATAAGAGAGTCCCCAGAAGCTCACAGACCAGCTGGCCTGGTGTGCACAGTGATGGACAATAACAGGGATACCCCCTCTCAAGGAAGGTAGAAGGCAGAGACCTGCACCCAAGGTTGTCCTCTGACCTCTACACATGTAGCATGGTATGCGTATGCTTGCATTCAAACACATGTGTAGTCTTTCTCTGTCCTGCCAGCTAGCCCCCAATTAAACCACATGGAGACTGCTTATGAAAGCTTGGCTGACAGCTTAGGCTTGTTTTTAACTACATCTTATAACTTAAATCAACCCATTTCTATGAATTTACTCTCTGCCTCATGGCTTTATTACCTCATCTGTATAGTACCCATCCTGCTCACTCTTCATCCACTGGCGTCTCCTACCTTCTTCTTCTCCTTCTCCTTTTTTTTTAAACGTTATTTATTTATTTATTTTGATGTTTTGAGACAGGGTTTCTCTGTATTGTTTTGGAGGTTGTCCTGGAACTTTCTCTATAGACCAGGCTGGCCTCAAACTCACAGAGATCCAACTGCCTCTGCCTCCCAAGTGCTGGGATTAAAGACGTGCGCCACCAAACGCCCGGCTCCTCCCTTCTTCTTCCTAGCATCCTTTGTGCCTGAAAACCCTGCCTAACTGTTGGCTGTTTACCTTTTGATTAGAACAATCAGAATGGCATATCTTCAAGTGTTCAAAAAGATTATCTCACAACACACATGAACACAGATGATTTTTCTAAAACTCCTGTTTCTAACTACCCCTTTATAGAAAGTTGTCTTTGCTATTTATGGGAAGACACAACTTGAACTTGACTGCGACCATAATCTAGACCTTCCTCCATGGAAGCTCCAGAACTTTTAGTGTCAGGTGCGGAGAGGTGGGTATTTGCTGGGATGGTAATAGCTGATGGACTTAGCTTGGAGCCATGTTTATGTATTAAGCACACTGTTGTCATTTAGATTGTACAGTTGTTTGTAGTGGCTTGTCCAACTGTTAGAACTGTATCTCCCTAACATTGTAAAAATCTTGGAGCCCAAGTTTCTCTCTGCATTTCTGTCTTTCTGTGTCTCTGTGTCTCTGTCTCCTTCTCATGTGTGTGCATACTGAGGTCCTGCACTAAGTTCCCCATGCTTCAACAGCAAGTAATGTATACACTGTTCCATCTTCTCAGCGTGAGCCTCCGCTTCTTCTTTTTTTAATTATTTATTTTATTTATATATCTGTGTGTACCTTCGTGGGTTTATGTGGACCATGCATGTCCTGGTGCTCACAGAGACCAAAGAAGGCAGGGGGTGTGTGAGTAATCCTGTCCTCAGAATCACTGCAGACAGCAATGCTCTCCACCAAACCTCAGACTCCATGAGACTGCACTGAGCTCCTGCCTTATATTCTTCTCTAGTGCTGGGATTAAAGGCGTGTCATCCCAAGTGCTGGGATTAAAGTTGTGAGCTCTGTTTCTCTTTTAGACTGATTCATTCTCATGTAGCCCAGGGTGGCCTTGAACTCACAGAAATCTATCTGCCTCTGTCTCTCTAGTACTGGGATTAAAGGTGTGGCCACCACTGCCTGTCCTCTATGGCTAACTAGTGGCTTAGGTGTGTGGTTAACTAGTGGCTTATCTCTGCATGCTGATCTTCAGGCAAGCTTTATTTTGTTCCATTACAAATACAAAATTACTACAGAAGTCTCTGATTAGCCTTGCTGTGAGAGGAGATCTTTGGGACCTGTTGAACTGGCTAAAAGTTGTACAGAGAGCTCTGGGGACTCAGATTTTGTGAGTTTTCAGCCAGTCTGGGGTGAACTTTTCAGGGATGCAGCTGCCTTCTAGTCATCCTTGCATCTGTAATTATGTATTAAGCATACTGCTCCTGTTAGTAACCCAAAGAAAAACTCATTGCTTCACCAACTTGGGTTTTGGTGAAATTGTCTGACCTGTGGTGGGTTCCTTATCTGGGGTGAGTAGGTGTGCATGTTGAGTCTCTCCAGGAAAAGTCTCCACAACGCTTCAAAAACAGCACTGCAAGTTGGGAATCAAATATTCACACACATGGGTGTGTGTGGTTCAAACCATAATGAATCCACTTATGTGAGCTATGCGAAATAGTCAAATTCATAGAAACAGAAAGTAGGGAGGTGATTTCCAGGGACTGAGGAGAAGAGGAAAAGGGTGAGTTATTGTTTAATGAGGGTGGGGTTTCAGATTCTCAAGATGAGAAAGTTCTAGAGGTCCTATCATATGCTCAAGTCTACTGAACTATAGACTCGTGGTGATAGTATTTTATATACTTCGTACTGAAAGGGAAAGAAAGCATCATAGAAACAAAGGTGCTTGCTGTGGTTTGGACATGGATAGTCCAACAAGGGTTTATGTCCTGGAACTTGGTTTTCGGTGTGGTAGAGTTAAAGTGCTAGAACCTTTGTATGTCTGGTAAGAGATGTTCAGATTATCAGGATTTGCTGCCCTGAGAGTGGATGGTTAGGACAGAGCAAACCTGACCCTCAGTGGCTTCCGGACCTCCTGTTTTGTCATGTAATCTCTCTTCTTCTATTTAACTCCCCAAATTGCTAGCTAAATAAACCTCATCCTCTCTCTCTCTCTCTCTCTCTCTCTCTCTCTCTCTCTCTCTCTCTCTCTCTCTCTCTCTCTCTTTGTGTGTGTGTGTGTGTGTGTGTATGAGACAGACAGACAGACAGACATAGGCAGACAGACAGTGTCTACTGTGGTTTTTAAGACCACATCTCTCTCTCACTGACCTGGAACTTAACAAGTAGGGTGTGTTTGCTCATGAGCCCCAGGGATCCGCCTGTCTCTGCTTCCTCGTGCTATAATTATAAACACACAGCTTCACATATGACTTTTTTACATATGTTACTCAAGTTTGCCAGGCAAGCACTTCGCTGACTGAGTCATCTGCCCATCTCTCAGACCCGTTTCTCTGTCCCTTGAGCAGTATGACTTTCAGCTGTAGCCTTAACCCTGGTGCACCAGAGCTAAGCAGGACACCTGCCTCAGACTCCCACGCTGTTTCCACTGGACATCTCTGCATTGCCAAGAGGATCAGAACTGGCCTTCTGGAAAAGTCCCTTGTGTGACTTCTCTATCTGCCTTGTCACTCAATTTCTAGCCACTTCTTTCTCAGTTTGAGAGCTGACTCACTTTCTGCTGTCACACCCCCTTCTAAATTACTCACCTAGTCCTCTTTCATCTGAATCTGTAAGGACTCTTGAGTTCACTCTCAGAGCTTCCTCCAGCACTCCCCAGCCTCTCTTATAACCTGGGGTTTGATATAGGACTTTTAAAAATTATAATATGTGTGTATGTATGTATATACATATGTCTGCATGTGTATATATGTGGGCATGCATGTGCCACAGCCATATGGAGTCCAGAGAGCCATCTACAAGAGTTGGTTCTCTCCTTCCACCAAGTGGGTTCTAGGGATTGAGCTCAGGTCACCATGCTTGGTGGTAAGTACTTTCATCTCACTGGCCTCACAGATAAATCTGTGTGTGGACCTTCTACCTGCTACCTTGGGGCCAGGTGTCAATCCAGGGATTAGGGAAGATGTAATGTACCATCCTTTTTGTTATTATAATGAAATACTGGAGACAGGAGAGTAGCTTTATAGGAGACAAGGCTTCTGAATCTCATCTTTTCAGGGACTCAAAGGTGTGCCACTGGTGTCAGCATGGCTCTGTGAGGGCTCTCTGGTGTCAGCATGGTTCTGTGAGGGCTCTCTGGTGTCGGTGTGGCTCTGTGAGGGCTCTCTGGTGTCGGTGTGGCTCTGTGAGGGCTCTCTGGTGTCAGCATGGCTCTGTGAGGGCTCTCTGGTGTCGGTGTGTTTCTGTGAGGGCTCTCTGGTGTCGGCGTGGCTCTGTGAGGGCTCTCTGGTGTCGGTGTGGCTCTGTGAGGGCTCTCTGGTGTCAGCGTGGTTCTGTGAGGGCTCTCTGGTGTCGGTGTGTTTCTGTGAGGGCTCTCTGGTGTCGGTGTGGCTCTGTGAGGGCTCTCTGGTGTCGGTGTGTTTCTGTGAGGGCTCTCTGGTGTCGGTGTGGCTTTGTGAGGGCTCTCTGGTGTCAGCATGGCTCTATGAGGGCTCTCTGGTGTCAGTGTGGCTCTATGAGGGCTCTCTGGTGTCGGTGTGGCTCTGTGAGGGCTCTCTGGTGTCGGTGTGGCTCTGTGAGGGCTCTCTGGTGTCGGTGTGTTTCTGTGAGGGCTCTCTGGTGTCGGTGTGGCTCTGTGAGGGCTCTCTGGTGTCGGTGTGGCTCTATGAGGGCTCTCTGGTGTCAGCATGGCTCTGTGAGGGCTCTCTGGTGTCAGCATGGTTCTGTGAGGGCTCTCTGGTGTCAGCGTGGTTCTATGAGGGCTCTCTGGTGTCGGTGTGGCTCTGTGAGGGCTCTCTGGTGTCAGCATGGCTCTGTGAGGGCTCTCTGGTGTCGGTGTGTTTCTGTGAGGGCTCATTTGTGTTTTTCATTG